CAATGCACATTTCTTCCCGCAAAGTGCGGGGAAGTGGTGATTTCGCCCGGATCCTTCTGCAGCCTGGTTGCTGGAAGGCAACGAGCTCAGACGATCATCCGGGCTTATCCTGGTTGACAGTGCTTCCTCCTCGTTGCCACCACCAACCTGGACTAGCTCCTCCCCAATTGAGGTCTTTACATGCGAAAGGATTTTGCCGCAGTGATTACCTGAGATAGTACTAATTAAACGCACCTCAAGAGCCGATTCAAGGTTTAACCCGAATATGCAAGGTTGGTGCATCTTGACGTGCATACAGCGCTGTATGCACCTTTGCAAGTCCAGAGTGTTGGTCTGGCCATACAATTCGAGTCGGTGGTCGGTCTTTGTAGATGCAGCCCAGATCATTGGACGAGGTGGTCGAAATCATGATTGTCGGCGCGTCAATATTATCTTTCGTAAGTACTTCAAAAGTTACTTTGCAGGTCATGAGGTCTCAACCCTGTTTCTTCATCGTCATCTTGTGACACGTCGCCAACTTGAAAGGACTGGCTCTACTTCCAAACCCCAAATCATGGTATGAATGCTGCTTGTGAACACAGTACAGAAGGATCCGGCAGATAGCCGTGAGATGGGTCATGGAACCAAAAATTCAAAATGGTGGCGCCAGCCACCTTCCATAAAGATCCAAGGCCAATTTGATTCATGCATCACTCATTGATAGATCGAACCGAGGTGAACGACTTACGAGACATGGCTGGAACGATCTTCTGACAGAACGTGACTCGGGCCGGTCAAGTATGTGCTGTAAGTACTAGCAAGTCGAGATTGGTCACTGGCCGGAGTCCTGCACAGGCAAGGTGAGATGCCGCCATGTGCATATATCAGCCTTGTGGACATGGAAGCACCGGACAGCTACAGCGTGGCGCCGATGGAGAAGATGAAGGTGCCGTCCGTAGTGAGACCTTCTGAACTTTGAGTACATATCCCCATTCCTGGCTGATTGGGCGAATCACATTCTGAAGCCATAACTTCCCGATAAGAACACATCTCGAACAGATTCTTTCTATGAAACCACTATGATCGTCGTTTTCAAGTAGTAAATCTGGATCCTTAAAGGCTGTAAGCATTCTGAGGTGTTTCGGATCTCGAGGCGACTTGATGTTTCAAAACCGAGCACAGTCCAATTTGCCAGGAAGCGAGGTATGAACGTCTAACACGTCCAACTGCGGATCTTCGTTCGATCATCCCAAAATAGACGTCATTGATCACGTGCGCTAATTCCAATCCTACCAAAACTGCTGCTCAGCCTCCTTTGCTTGAGATTGCTGCTCCATACTTCAATCTCGTGGTTCTCCATCTTCATGCATATCTCATCTGATGAGCGCTTGTGTCGCCTTGTGACCATAACAATCACAAACAATGACAGCATGCGTCTGGCGGAGATATGATGGCTATCATTCCGATATTCGCGGTTGACTGGAACGAAGCCTGACCGGCAGAAGAAAGTGAATTATGCAAGAACTCAGCGCAAGCTTTACTGCCTCGTAGACCTCAAACTCGAGGGGCAGAGATGTACGCGAGCTTTACCGAATACTCAACACGTGCTACTCATCCCTTATCGATGGGATGTGCAACAAGGGTCACTGTCCAAAGGTCTTCAATCCTTGTCAAGTGCTCCAGCCATTGTCTTGAATATGGAATCTAGCCGACATGATTCTCCCGCCGATACTCCGTCTAAACAGAAACAAATCTACAACTTGGCGCCTGCCTTCTTGCGCGCCTCTCTTTCCTTGTCTCTTAACAGTCGCCTCAGGATCTTGCCCGAAGCACTCTTTGGAATCACATCAATAAACTCGACACCTCCAGCGAGCCATTTGTGCCGGGCCTTCTCCTTCTGAACGTGCTTGGCAATACTGCGTTTGACCATCGCGTCGCTCTCTTCCAGTCCTACACTATTGGCCTTGACAACAAAGGCCTTCGGTACTTCACCGGCCCGTTCGTCTGGTACGGGAATAACTGCGCAATCAGCCACAGCAGGATGGTTGAGCAAGCAGGCTTCGAGCTCTGCAGGTGCAACTTGCAGGCCCTGGAGTCGTCAGCATCGGTCTACCATACAGTCCAAGCCACTTACCTTGACTTTAATCAACTCTTTTATCCGATCAACCACCCACACGTGCTCATTGCCCTTGGGTGAGACACGGATCTCGACCTCGTCTCCGGTCCGCATAAATCTCCCTTCAGGCATGTCGACAAAAGTCTCGCTTGTCGCCTTCTCATTCTTCAGATAGCCCAGGACGACACTCGGCGATTTGACGAGCAGTTCACCACGCTGGTTGTACCCCGTGATCTCATTACCTTCAATGCTCATTACTTTAGCCTCGATGCCCGGTACCAGACAGCCTGACGAGCCGAACCAGATGTCCGTAGGTGATGTCGAGCATACTACTGTACACGTCTCGGTAAGACCATAACCTTGTCGGATCTTCCACGCTGGATACTGTCTGCCCAGATCTTCCGCAGTTTCCTGGCCGAGTGGGGCGGCTCCAGTGAAGATGATCTTCACGCTAGAAAGGTCGAACTTTTGTAATGCCTGCTGTTCCTTGACCATTCTAATAATGATCGGCGGTACGATATACAGGGTACTAATCTTGTACTTCTGAATCGCGGTGAGATATTGTTGCAGTTCGAATTTGGGCAGCACGATGACCCTGTCGCCACGGTAGGTGGAGCAATGACAGATCACAATCAAACCGTAGATATGCGAAAAGGGTAGTAGACCCATAGCCACATCCTGATAGCCAGGAGTTGCATCACGGCCGTGCTTCTCCCATTCACAGATCTGGACTGTGTTTGCGATCACATTCCGGTGGCTAATCATGACACCCTTAGGCAACCCAGATGTGCCACTGGAATAGCACAGAAACGCTGTCTGTCTCGCTCCCTGGCCTTTGCTCCATTTGATGGGCTCGAGTTCGGGTAAAGATTCGCCGGCCTTGATCAATTGTCCAAGAGTCTTGAATCCTTTGGGGATCGGAGGGTCGTTCGGCATCTCGCAAATATATATCCGGTCCTTGGGAATCCTGGATCTCTCGGCGGCTTCTATAGCCGTCTCGAGGAGGGACATCACCGTGAAAAGAACTTTGGAGCCAGAGTTCGTAAGCTGATGCCTGAGTTCATCGGCGTTATAAGCAGCGCTTGCGGGTGAGGAGACACCGTTTATTCTGTGAATTGCCCATGACAGGGTCATGATGTCGATCTAATATTGTTAGAAGAGATAGAGGAAGCTCCAGAGAACGTACAGTATTGTGCGCAAAGACGCCGACCACTTTGTCATATTCAGTGCCCTCGTTGACATCCCAGCCAAATTCCTTGGCTAATGCGCGTGCCAACTTGTCCACATTCTCTTTCTGCTGTGTGGCTGTGATGCTTCTGCCGCTCAAACCGCAGGTATAGGGGTCCCAGGATTTCGAGAGAGGGCGTCGGCCATGCTTCTCATCAAGCATGAATTCGCAGAGAGGTACGGTGTCTGGGATATCCGGCAGTTTAGGAGCCCACGGTACAGGCGTGAAGACCATGGCTGCGATAACGGTAGAGAGAGCTGAAGTTAATCGTGAAGACCCCAGGGATTAGTTCAGCAAAGAAAATGCATCGCACGAGAGAAAGAGCGTCAGAACCACTTTGAAGGTCCGGTGGACGCTGGATCGCCCAGGGCCCGTCTGCACGGGCAATTGCCGAGGTAATATATTCCCCCCGGTAAAGGAAGGTCGCTCCTTGTAGCGTCATACCTGTTGCGGGTACCCCGGTCCCCGGTGGAATCGCGGAGCTTGTCCGAACAGACAGTGAACCTTGGGACTGAACCACGGAATGATCTGATGCCCATAACGACTGGTCTATCTCACACGATCACATCAGGCTCTCTCGCTCGGATTGACACTGTACAGCAGCGATGGCTGCTCTTCTTCGCAGGAGTCTCTACCGCCACAATCTCACCTTCACGATTATTGGGCCTCTATCGGGACACTAGAAGCTCGGCTCCAATGGTGGAATTCAATCCCCACGCAAGCATGAACACTCTCGCAAGAGGTCGTCGGGGGATTCTCGGGGGATGGCCTCAAGTAAGTCGATAGACTGCAAGCCTGTTTCCAGAAAAAGTGGCACTGTCTGACCGCTGTTGCTCTTCAGGTTCAAATGGGTACCTTTCTTTATTGTTATCCGAGAGTCCTTCGCACACACCGAAGGGCATCAGCTCTACCAAAGATTCCTACTATCTTGGAGTCAAGGCACCCACTGTCTTGAACGTGCTGGACATTGGAGTTATGTCGTCGACATACTCCATGTCAGACGGTGACACTTTTTCTGGAAACAGGTTCTCACGCATAAAAAACCCATGGGAGGTTTTGATTTCGAACGCTGGTCCGAGTCTCAAAACAATGTGCTGAAGGCTGTAATAAGGTCTCGTCGCAGCAGCTTCAAGGAATTTATGGCATGTGCTGGAGACGTTATAGCAGGCCTAACTGATACTCATCAGGCCCCCCGGTTTGCAATGTTGAACCACGTCTGTACGGGATGAGTGGCCACGATCTTGCTTGTGCCCTGTAAGTATGTGTAGTCATTCGAGATCCTATGGTCGATAACCATTCCATCTGTACATGAGACTGATCTTGTCGAAGAGATACCTGAGTTGACAGCCATATTCATGCACCGGATCTAAGTGACCCTCGAACAGGTCAAGACTACCGTAATCTGCCGCAATTGTCTCTGCTTCTCAGACCCATGAGGCTCACGTGACGGTGCTGCGCACTTCGTTTGGCGCAAAGTTGCTCAGAATTCTGTGATTGGCTCGCCAATCCTGCCACACTCACTGGCAGTGACTGGCAGTCTGAGATGCCAGTGCTTTTTGATCAAAACTGCCAAGACCATTACATCACTTTACCTAATACTGTATCGAAACATGAATGCCACATCCACCAAAAAGAATGAACCACCATACAAAACCGAAAAAAAAACCCAAGCTGTAGTGCGCCGACCCGGAGTCGAACCGGGGGCCCGTCGACTTTGAGATTCCAGGCTTTTGAAGGCCTAGAGGGTCTTGGCAACGACGGATTTTACCGCTAAACCATCGGCGCTCATAGGGGATGAGATGCTCAAGATTTGAGATATAAATCATGTCTGCTCTGATTGTTGACAAAATGCTCAGATGTCAGTATATAGCGTTACATTATGATGGGGCGGAGAGTCGAGCAAAAGCTTAGCACCGGCGGTTTGTCGGAAAAACCGTCGCTGCGAAGAACTCGAACCAACGGCCCCTGGCCGCATCAACCCGATAGAAATCCTCCATTCAACTGGTCGCCCACAATCTTTGAACGTAACTTCAAGAATCACTGAATCAAGATACCCGGTTGTCACATCGACCATGACGTGGTCGTCTATACAAATAACTCATTAGAACATGGAGTACAAGGCGGTCAACGCTACCACGGCTTTCCTTATCCTACCATACACCTCTGTGTCGAACCACTATTCCCTCTGGGTCAGGACGTCATGAATGTTCCTAGTCTCCGGATCATTAGCAGGCTGCAGGACAACAGGGCAGAAACAACGAGTTCAATTGGTCATGGTGATCCTTCCTTTTTCAAGATGCAAGCTGCTCTGCTCGTCAAGAGAGAATGCGTGCGAAACCTTACACGCCACACACACCGAAAAACCTCCTATACCACCGACAGTCAATTCACCAATCAACGAACAATTCCAACCAACGTCGCTCGGGCCTGAAGAACCATCAGGCAACGACCTCGCTCCAAAGTCTGATGCCTACGACGTTGTCTCGCACATACTTCCTCCCGATCCTCATGCACCTCGAAGAATCAGTCACTACCATTCGTCTTTCTACCGCTCTATTCGACGAACCAGGTCAATCAAATATGACGGAGGCACAAGAAGAGGCTAGGGATAAAAACATGGAAATACAGCCCAAAAGCGAGCAAATAACTTCCTTGAAGCAGGAAAAGGCTGATCTCCAACAAGAGCTGCTACTTTGCGAGGGCGAGCTTGCCACTACTAAACTCGATAAGAAGGCACAATCTCAGCCACAGCGTAGAGTTGCCGATCGATCAGGCAAGAGAGATAATGTCGAAGGTGTGGAGCTTCTCAGAGACGATGTTGATTCTGACCTAGAAAAGACCAACTCCTAAATCGACAGGGAATCTTACCGTGGTCCCAGAGACGCAGTTCGATCAGCAGCCCAGTGCTCATACTGCGCAACATGACTCAATGCCGGAGAGGCCCTGCTAAACGATGGGTCGACTTCCGAGTTGAGCAGCGTGCCAGGGGATTTGGTCCAAGAAGATGACCAATATGAAGAGAGCAGCCCAAACGCACAAGTCAAGGCAGCCAGAGGCACGACAATCAGATGCAACCCAAGCGTCATATCATGCATCGAGCACCGTCAAGCTCGTATAGCTCGCAGGGTGAGCAGATGCTGCTGGAACAATTGAGCCATAATGACTCTGGGTTAGTTCCTGGATTTTCCACACTACCATCAACCATCACATCCCGCCGGGACAGTGACGACGAAAACGTGGTCGGCGAGTTTGATCGGACTAATGCCATGCCTTGGAACCCCGCAGAACGGAACAATGCCCCAGGTCGAAGGAGGCCGAGGAGTGAGTCTCATGCTCGTGGAAGACAATCAACCACTGACCATTACTTTCTTTCAGCATGCTGCTACACTACTATTCTCTTACTTCAAGCAACACTACCTTCGACGTCACTATTATGCCACCTAAGCCCTCCGCGGCCGCCACTAGCAAGGCTACCTATGCGAACTTCGCGTTTGTCCTCGGCGCCCTTCGGCATGCGGGTGATCAAGATGAACTCGGAAGAGGTTGCCGTGGACAATGGCATAGGATATGGCAATATGCGTTTGTTCTTTCATATTATCCACTTTCAGATCAAGACACCAAGGACCTCAATCCCAAGCTGTCTCAGTTCAACGCTATTGTCAAGAAGCAGGGATTCAAGTTCGAAGGCAACATCGTTAGTCCTCAAACGTCACGTCTAGCACTACCGCCGCTACGGCCACCTTTACCAAACCTGTTGCTACGCGTAAGCGTAAGGCTGCCGTCGGGACGGATGATGACAACAATGATGAGGGAGAGCCAAAAACTCCTGCTAAGCGCAAGAAGCCTGCACCAAAGTCTGCTTTCCACGTCAATTTGGAGTAATCCAACACGGGTGATGTTCAGTCCATCATCCCAGCCAGACCGTCCGTCACCATGATGAAATCTGTATTTTGTCACAACTCCCATCTCTCCCCGAGCAAGAAGCAAAGAGACCTACAAGCACCATCTCGCTTATAACTGTACACGAAACTCTCGCACCTGCACGCTGCACATTTATTCGCACTTTGAGGACAAAGAAGAGCACGAAACGGGAGGTCGTCACATCTGGCCCGCAAGTTCTTCCTTTTGCCTGATGACGGAACTCTTTCGACACTGTTTTGTCTTTGTACGAGGGGCCCGACGTTGTCGTCAAGGTCACCTGGACTGTCCATCAGCCGAGCCGAATCCAGAAGAGTGTTTGCTCTCCTTCATGATGCCGAATTGGTTCGCTTCAGCCACAGCACAACCCAACTCGCATCCCCTCTTGCAGCCCCTCCCACATCTGACTCTTCGTTGTATTGTCAAGCCGGTAAACATTTCTTGATGGCGCCATCGTCACGACTTGCCTTCACATTCTTTGCAGCTTCCATATACGTGAGTCTCTGTCCCAGGAGTCCAGACGTCCACTATGTCATGTGTTCGGCCAACAAGCCAGTCTGTGGGTGGACGAGGCGTCGATCTTCGTTAGCACACAGACAGTATATTCTCCCTGTGGGACACAACCTAGAGCAGCCGGGCACGACACTTCGCTGTGGGATGCTATGCGGTCAGAGCCGCAGACCACACACCAACGTCTAAGGAGTCAGCAGGGGAGGGCGAAGTACTGCAAAAATGGATTGGAACGAGCGAAGCTCAGCTGAAATTGATGAAACCCAACAAGCAGCGCGATCCAGAGAGATTGAACTTACTCCTGCTGGATATCAATCAGACTGGAGCAGCGCATCAGCACCAGGACAGCAGACAAAGCCCGCAAACCAAATGCAGCCCGGATCTGGTCGTGTCGGTCACAGACTGCTGGGAACCTAGCACCCACTACGGACCTGGACCCAGAAAGGGAGTGAAATCACTCTGGGAACGATCTGATGGGCAACTTGTGGCACATTGTATACGACAGATGTGACGAGCGATGACACACGAGGAGGATCTGCGCGCAGAACCCACTGCCATACGAACAAGAACAGCAGCTGATTCGTGAGAGACGCGGAGAGCCGCCGCCATGCGCGCGCTGGGTCCGACACAGCAACACAGCCTGCAGCTGCCAGCACGACCAGTGTACCCAGCTATCATCCCGGTGGCACAACTCGTGCAGGCTGCAGCGATGGCTCTCAATGGTCAAGCGGATGAGCGACGACTTGCGTGTGGAGGACTTACCCATTCAGTGGGAGAACAGCCATCAGAGTTGTCGGGATCTCGGTTCCCCCGCCCCCGCCGCTGCTATAAAGATATCAGCTGCGCAAGACGATGTGTCCTCTCTCGGAATGGTGATTTCGGCACTTTACAATACTGTAGCGAAAATGAGGGACCATGTTACGGCTCGAAAGGCAACCAGGGAGGCGACCACCGGAGAGGCCTTGGAAAGTCAAAATTCTGCTGCAATGCATGTTAAGCAGAGGCTACACCAGCAGGGCACGGACCGAAAGTTATGCAGGGATATGGCCACCACAGAGGCCTCGGAAAGTACAAATCCGGCTGAAATGCATGCTGAGCGGAGGCTAGAATAGCAGGGCATGGACCGAGAAAGCATAATGAGAAGTGCCCAGGACACTTCGCGAGAGTGGTGTTCTCACGAGAATCCGTGTGCGCTGGGAAAGTGACGACGATGGCATGGCCCGAGACAGCTTGCTACATAACACTGATTATGTCGTTGCTGGCATGATGTCCGGTACCAGAGGCCAGGAGTATCATGTCGATGGTGACAACATAGCCATAGCCGCCAAACAACGTGGATGACAACCCAGGGGGAAATCAATGAGCATGAGTGACAAAGGTGGCGTCAGGGGCAGAGAGACAGTTGGTGCGACTTCCCATCATTGAAGCGCTGGCCAGATCAACATGCCGCCGAACATGGGATCAGTGCGGTGGGTTGTCACATGAATGCTGCTTGGTAATACGCATGCTCATGCAAGAGATGCTGCTGCTGTAAAACATGCCGGCGCCTATGACGGACGGGATTACCACTTCCACGCGACGACACGTAAATACCTGGACGAGATTGCCGGCCTGGACACGGATGTTGATAGCATGAAAACGATCTCGAGCTGGCCTCACCTGCAAGTCACTCCGACTGACAAGCTTAAGTGGTAATGGCATGTGATCTCTCCTGAGGACACCATCAAACTCTCCCAACTCATCCCCTTTCCCCAACTCATCAACTGCCCGGTCTTCCTGAGCCGATCTCATCTTATGATGGCGAGTGAACCTGAGGACGACCGCGCTGACATGACGGCGATGATGGCATCGAATCTTGGTCCTGACGACGAGCGGAGCGTAACTACAGAAGATCCAGACTTTAGGATTGAGGAAGGTGGAGATGAGAGCCAAATGGACGAACGAACCACGAGGTACAGCAGCACGAGATCAGAACTGAAGCTTGAAGAGGTCGAGGACAACCAGAATCATCTGATGTCAACGGATGAAACTAAGGAGACAATCATCGGCGCCGATGAAAACTCCAAGGCGCCTGCGTGACCTGCACTAGAACCAAGACCATGGAGACAACGACACCAGTGACGGCGATGAAGTCGTGTCAAGCAGCTCGGATACGCCGCGAGGTGCAGGCTTGAAGAAAATGGACAAGATTGCTGCTGCAAGGGAGAAGCGGAAGATGTCAAAACGACCACCAGACAAACCTGAAGGCCACTGCTTCCGTATAAACGGCCAACCAAATGGGACCTGGCAAAAAGACTTTCCTCCAGAAGGACTATGGAGGATTGGTGAACAGCCTCGCCGATGGATGGGCTATACTT